AGCAGGTGGAATAAGGTGAGATCACATTGCTTGTCAAATCTTCTAGTTTCCTTCTTTTTCCAGTGCTGGATGCTTCCTTCCGCTCCTCCTGCCCTTGGATGTCAGACTCCAGGTTTTTTAGCCTTTGGGCTCTGGGACTTGCACCAGCGGTTTGCCAGGGGACTCTCTGGCCTTCAGCCACAGACTGAAGGCTGCACTGTCGGCTTCCCTGGTTTTCAGGCTTTTGGACTTGGACTGAGCCGCTACTGGCTTCTCTTTTCTCCAGCTTCCAGAAACAGCCTATCATGGGACTTTGCCTTGTCATCATGTGAGCCAATTCTCCCTAAGAAACTCTCTTTTATATATACATCCTATTGCTTCTGTCCCTCTGGAGAACCCTGGCTAATGTCAAGTATTTGTGTTGCCAAACCAGAACCCTGGATACCATCTCAATTCTCCACTTTGGTCAAGTATATTAAAAATGTCTGAAGAATTATGTAATCTCTGCTCCTGCCTATGCAGTTTGGACACAGGATACCTAAGTTCCTGGAAGGGTAACTTTTTTTAGTCTGTTAGGAACAAATCCAACCTTTCTGCCATTGACTTAGCTTCTCTGCCTTGGGGATGGGCTCCAGCTTCTGATGAGGAGGCTTTCCCTATTGCCAAACCAAAATGTCAACAATCAAAACAGATGGGAACTAAGGAGACCTTCCTGGGAAGTGGGAATTGTTTAGCCAAGTAACACTAAAGCTTTTAGAGTAGTGTCTTTGAAAGTCAGAGCAGATTCAAGGCAGTGAATGTCTTCATCTGGTGAGACTGGAAGAATGGGTCTGCCCAAACAGACACAGTGACTGTCAGAGTGATTACTCAGACAGCTGTGCCAGGTTGGGGCTGTCTGACCCCTCCTCTCCCTTCATCTCTTCCCATTCTCAAACCTGTGAAGGAGGATTTTGTTTGAAAAAAAATACTGCTTCAGTGTTATGCTCTCAGAGCACTAAATATCAGCAAGAAATGGGTTTCTCCATTTTGCAGACACTCTATTTTGAAAAATATTGAAGATCTAGGCTTACCCCCAAGAGGCCTGTAAAGAGCCAGCATGGCTCTCTAAGATGAAATCACAAAAAATGACCACCTTGACGACCAAAGCCTTCCTTAGAAGAACAAGGAACAGAAGCAGAGGGAGAGAGGAAGACCCCAGGAGAAGTCCCAGGAGTCCTGCAAAACAGATTGTGTGGACTCAAAGGCAACCTGCCCTATTTTACACTGGACTCATCTGCAAAATGGGATGACAATACCTTCTCCAGAGGGCTTCTGTGAGTATCAAATGAGTTAATACACACAACATGCTTATGACAAGGCCTGGCACGTAACAAACTGTCAATAAATGCCAGCTATTATCCTCATCTCCTGTTCCTCTTCCTCCTCTTCTACACCTTCCTCCTTCTCTTTCTCTTCACTCAAAGAATTTCCTGATCTGTCCCTAGGAATTCCATCTTTGCTCTGATAATCCAGGGAGCCTGTATACCCTTTCACAAATTACAAGATGTATTGATAGTGTTTTCACAGCAACTACATTAGAGATATTTGCAAAGTTAAACTTGGCCTGAAATTAGCTTCAATTGGCAATGATGTCATCTCAGACATTCCCCTATGCCAAATACTGTCACTGAGCAGGGAGCGCAGTTTGGATCATGGTCAATTTGGTGACTCAAAAGGCAATTAAGTTCTTACTCTCATTCATCCAACAAATATTTATTAAATGCCTGGCACATTCCAAGCCATGGTAGGAACACCAGGATGAATTGATCTTGCCTTTAAAGAAATTTTCATCCAAGGGTGAAAAAAAATCAGGTAGATATTTTAAAAATAAAAACAGAAAGTGATGTGGGGCACAAGAAAAACGCACCTAGAAGGCTGTGTACCCCAGGTAACAAGAGAGACTGGTTTCTGCTGAGAACTCAAAAAATAGAGCCTACAGTTCATACAAATGCAGATCACTGACGTCACCATCAGTAGTGAATTTTCTTAAGACGATTACCTTGAATCCAAGTATTTGGTCTTTGTCTAGGTGTTTTCATTCACCAGAACTGTCATGCAGGCCAAGTTTGCCATGCTTTCTGCCTTTACATCAGCAGCTCCTCTCCCCCACCCCCACCACAATCTTCACACGCATTGCAGCAAGGCATCCAGACCTGGATCTCAACTCATGCTCCTTAACATTCCTGCCTCCATCAAAATATCCCATCATAGACCCTTTGTTCTACAGGGACACTGGCTGGAAGGGGCCAGTCCTTAAAGGAGAGATCACCAACACCATGTGCATAATACATTTGACACAAGAGACCTCTGAAGTCATGTGGGTATTAATTCTGCCTATGTTTAAAGCTGTAGCCCACAGCATTGTAGACACTGACTCAACGGTAATAACAAATCAATAGGTTTTGACTAGTTCAATCACAACAAAACCTCAATAACTAGCTGGCAACTGCAAAGGTGAATGTGGCTTCAGTTTTGTCATCCCACTGTAATCTCTATGAATGGCACGGGTTGAAATTGTGCTGAATGCAGTCTGCTCACCAAAACTGGGACGCCCTACCTGAGATAGCCATGGAGTTTTGACAGCTAAGCTTGGGCAAAAGAATAAATATTTTTAGATAAAACATATCACAAAGAAACAATGCTATTTGTTTCATGTTCCAAGCATGCTAATTGCAAAGATACACATATGTGGCTTTGTGGATGTTTTTCTGAGTTGCATTTGTTTCCTCATCAATATAATATCATCTTACCTTGATAGACCACTCTACGTCTTGGCTATCTGACATCAGTGTCTTGCACAATGGTATTGTGGAAAGGTCAATACTGTGCCAACCCACTTACAGCCTCTTCTGAGGGGACCCATCCTGCCCACACTTTCTGCTGAAGGGACAGACCCAGGAAGCCACACTCACTACCCAGTGCCCCACTTCCTCTATCCACAGATGATTGGCCTTGGCTGGTGCACCTGAGCCAATGGCAGACAACCCATATGCTGAAGAGGGAGTTATGGACTACTTAGAATGTGGACTGGACCAATCAGATTCTCTTAGTGCCCTAACCTTGAAACAAACAAATAACCATCAGTTAGTACTAGGAGCAGAAGAAGACATGCCATTTGTTGCTTAACCATAGAAATCAAACAGCCATGAACTCCTCCTGTGAAAGACTTGGGAGCTTCCTTGAATCTAGAAGCACCTTTGAGTTCTGGATTCCTTGAGGCCAGGATCTGATATGGCTCCTGCTCTTAGATTTATCATTTAAAAATAATATAATATAATGCAATATGTTAAACCCCTTTGTCCTGAGTTGGCTTGAAGCGATGTCTGTCCTTGCACGAAAAAATAAAAGCCAGATTAAAATCAGTGGGATATTAACACCTGGTCCTAATTTATCTCCTGGGCCATAAGGCCTTCTGCAGAAATCACAAGAAGCAAGACAAACTGGCAATGTCTTAGCCATTACTGGGAAGGCAATAGAAACCAAAAAAAGAAAAAAGGGAACTGAAAACTTTTAAAGACGATTTGGAAAGTTTGTGTGTATGCACCTCCCTGTTGAGTGTGCAGTGACTTGTGGAGCCAGCTCTGAGGACGGAGAAGACGGCCTCACTGAGTTTTTGCTCATGAACGAAACCTAGCATTTTAATGCTCACACTTAAAATAGACTATGAATGACTGCCGGTTATGAGACATGCTAGATGCACAGGAATCACAAGTGATCGAAGCCAATTCACAAGAAAAAACAGGATGATAATATTTGAAGCAGCCTCAAAAGCAGGTGCTAGGTCTAGGGTGTGTCTACATGGCTCTGGTTTTTATTTCCACTCAGCTTTGGGAACTAAATGACACTGATGTCTATTTAAAACTGTCTTATATACGTTTATACAGAGTGTGTCTAAATAAAACACAGTTTACAAATATCTCCTTAATGGTAGCATTTCATGGCCAAAGATATTTCGTGACTTGGAGTTAAATACAATTTGGCCTCCATCTAAATGTTTCAATCGATTTAGAAATTGAATTATCATCACATTTGATCCAAGAAGACATCTCAAAGTTTAAAAACTAAAATTTGTAAATAGGAGGTTTCATGACTTAAATGGAATTTCCTGTGCCTCTGTTACATAAATTATGTCTTCTTGCTATGTGGAAGCAGTATGCTGAAGTGGGTAAGACATGGATTTTGGAGACAGATGGACCCGAGTTCAAATCCAGGATCTATGATTTATTAGTCATGTGGCCTTGAGAAAGTTACCCCTGCAGTTTATTTTTGAAGCTAGGATGGTGAGGATAATAGCACATACATTTCAGGATGTCGTAAAGATTAAACGGGTTAGTAAACATACATGCTTAGAGCAGTGCCTCGCTCATAGATGTACTCTACAAATGCTTGATACTATTATTAGTAATTCTTTCATTGAACCCACAATGTAAATCACTAAACCAATTCTTACCGAGTCCATGTGAGTACTGTACCAGGTGCATCCTTTTGTAATCCTGTTGAAAATGCACAACTCACAAGGAGAATATGGAATTCTCGTTCTAACTTTACAGTTGCAGAAATGAGGCTTAGAAAGGAAGTTAACTTTCTAAAGCCTGCCTGGTTACCAAATGGCAGAGCTAGGATTAATGAATTCATTCATTTGTGCATTCAACATAGGTTTTTTCTTTGAGACGGAGTCTTACTCTTGTCGCCCGGACTGGAGTGCAGTGGCATTATCTCAGCTCACTGAAACCTCCACCTCCTGGGTTCAAGCAATTCTCCTGCCTCAGCCTCCCAAGTTGTTGAGATTACAGGTGTGCACCTGACTAATTTTTGTATTTTTAGTAGAGACAGGGTTTTACCATGTTGACCAGGCTGGTCTCCAACTCCTGACCTCAGGTGATCTGCCCGCCTTGGCCTCCCAAAGTGCTGAGATTACAGGTGTGGGCCACCATGCCCGGTTCAACATGTTGTTATTGAGTACTGGTTACTGATTATTCTAGGTGCTGGAATACAGAGAAGAATCAAACAGACAAAACCCCTTGCCTGCATGGAGCTTACCCTCAGCTAAGGGAGACAGTCAAAAACAAGGTAAGTCAGTAATATGCATAGGAGATTATAACGTGGAGTGTGCTAACCAGAAAACTAAGCTGGAAGGGGAATGGGAATGTGTATGTTTGCATGTTAAGGGGGGTGGAGTTCATAATGCGATTGTTGCTATGGCAGGTAACTAGGGAAGGTCTCACTCAGAAGAGGGCATTTGTGGAAAGGTGTGAGAGGAAAGGAAGAGAGCCATGGGAGTATCTGGGGGAAAGTTTTCAGGCAGCAGCAAGAGCACATGCAAAGGCCCTGAGGCAGGAGTGTGCCTGGCGTGTTCCAAGGACAGTAAAAAGCTAGTGTGGCTGAAGCAGAGAAAGCAGAGAGAACAATGGGAGATGAGATCAAAGAGGTAAGGGATTGGCTGACATTGGCATTTACTGAAGAAAACCCCTCCCTATTTTCCTGTTAGCTGGGATTCTTCTTCCACAAAGTCAACACATCTAAAGAAACTGTTGATGAAACAGGCTCCCCCTTGGAAAGACCATCTCGTCTTCCAGCCTCTCCATCCTACAGAGAGGAAAACCCAACTTTGGCGTTGGCAGTCAGGTAGTTTCATTAGATCTGGAAAGCACCTTGTCAGCATCCCCCTGGCCGACTGGAAGCAACCGTGACGATGTGCTGAACGCCCTTGCAGAGTTGTGCTGTGGTCTCTCTGAGCGCATCACGGCAGCTTCCTATGCAGGAGTTTCAATTCAAGGTCATTTTTGGTTCCTTTCAGTAGCAGACTCAGAACCAGACCTATTCAAGTGTCAGAATGGGGCAGACACATTAATAGCCAGACCCCAGTGGGAGTTCTATTTTCCATTTCCTCCTCCCCTATATTTATTTGTTTCTTCATCTCCTCTGTGTGGTAAAGGTGATCTTGCATGTTATTTTCAGATGAGGCTTAAAAAGGTGGAGTGGAGGATGGGAAGATGACACCCGGAATTGGAGCCCACTCTTTCTTAGGCCCTCAGGTTGGAGTTGAGCTGCCTGGATTCAAATCCCTATTCTATCACTTAGAAGATGTGTGGCCTTAGTCAGGACACTCGGCTTCTCTGAGCCTCAGTTTAAAATTTTGAATTGGCGCCAGGTGCTTTGGCTCACACCTGTAATCCCAGCACTTTGGGAGGCCAAGGTGGGCAGATCACTTGAGGTCAGGAGTTCAAGATCAGCCTGGCCAACATGATGAAATCCCTGTCTTTACTAAAAATACAAAAATTAGCGGAGTATGGTGGTGCATGCCTGTAGTCTCAGCTACTCAGGAGGCTGACGCAGGAGAATCACTTGAACATGATGCCAGAGGTTGCAGTGAGTCAAGATCGCGCCACTGTACTCCAACCTGGGAAACAAAGCAGGACTGTCTCAAAAATAAAATAAAAGTAAAAAAATAAAAATTTTAATTGGGGAATGATGACATCTTCCTCAAAGACTTATCATGAGAATTCAATGTGGTCATTTAATTCTGTTTCAGGATTTAGCCAAATTTGGGTGGTACATCCCCTTTTATGGGGGCACTTTTCTTCACAATGAGCAGGACGTCTTTGGACTGCAGAACACTGAGAGGTGGGTGTCCAAAACATGTGGTTGTCTCTGCCTTTCCACTCAAAGCAGAATCCATGTATTTCCAGGTGCTTCCCTCTCTCTGCTGAAAGCTCACTTCATCTCCATCTGGGTGGTCCCAGCCTCCCAGGCTGGTAAGCCTCTTGAATTCTTAAGAGCAGAGAGGTGGGCCCTCTATGGTCTAGGGGAGAAGTGGTCCATTGCCTCAAATGGGAAAGATGTTCTAACTGCAATTTTTCCCTTGCCTGGGGCAAAAGCTGAAATTTTCTAGTCTCATGCAGGGAATTAAGGGAAACGTTTGTAAATTCTTTGGAAGGAGAAACATGAAAACAACAAGCAAATATCCTTTCTAGAGAAGGTTATTTTTAGCAAGCGAATTTGCAGAGATTATACCTTACTTCCTTCGGTGTAACTTATCTTTTGGGAAAAAGGCACACAGAATGTGGTGAATGTTGTCTAATGGCCACAGCTCATTAACCCTATGTGTTCCTGTAGACAGGGAAAAAAATCACTACAGAGTTATGTCAGAAAGCCTCCCATGACAGGGATACATCAAACAGTCAATATTACCGCTGGCAATAAACCAATGAATAAATAATACATGAGGAATAGCTACAGCATTTCACAGAAACAGCCAAAGCAATTATCTTAAAATAATTGTAATTAAAAAAACATCCCTGTGAAATGTGTCTGTAACTCAGTGATATAAATGAGTAGAATAATACTTTCTTACTGGCTCTGATTACTACTTTAGAGATGATTTATCATGGTGTCTGATGAAGCTCCAATGGCAGGAATCCTTCAGATTATGATTTTAAATTGTTCTGGCCTATTGATGGTGGCAGCAGCCCGTCTGGAGCAGCCGCTGGGGGGACACAGCTGCAGCAGGGGAGGCGCAGCCAGGGCTCCATGCTCTACGGAGCCACCCAGGGCCAGCAACCGATGGGAGTCCTGCCCCTTACTGAGTTGGCGGAGTGAGAGCCCTGCACTCTCAGGCACCCCTGCAGCAACCAGCAGCAGCTCTGGACCCAGGCATCCCTCTGCTCTGAGGGCTAGGAAGCCCTCCTTGCCCCTCCAGGCTCTGAAATATCTGCTCCTGCCCCCCGGCCTTTCCCCACTCCCGGTGCCTGCTCTGATTTTGGAGCAAAGTTGTGGCCAAGCCCTGACACTGTTGCAACCTGGCTGAGGGTGCAGGTGCTCAGGGTGGCACTGACATGTCAGACCCGAATCCCACGTCCTGCCTCAGCCCCCTCCAGACTTTGGGCACCAACAGTGCCAGAAGGAGACTAGGGGCGCTGAGGGTGGCTCAGCACAGGCCTGTGCCCCTCGGCACATACAATCTAGGTGCCATCGATGGCATGTTGGTGAGAGGTAGGCAGGTTCCTGGCCAGAAAGGGGCGGGTCCCTAGCCAGGAACACCTTGAAGCCAAGAACAGCCTGAAGCCCGAGGTCAGGCTGCCAGGCTGCTCAGAGTAAGAACTTATGGTGCTTTTTCCAGGCCCTCCCATGGCCACCCATGAACCAATCAGCTTCCCCGCTTCTGAGCCCATTAAAACTCTGGACTCAGCCAGACTCAGAAAGAAGTCAGGACTAACGGCTGTGGGAAGGAGCTACCAACTTCAGTCTCCTTGACTCTGCAGGATGACCTGCCTACACGTGAGAGCTACCCACCATGGGTCTCCTCTCCCACTTGCCAGGACGACCTCCTGTGGAAAGGAGTTACCCACTTTGTGTCTCCTGAGAGCTGTCTGTCACTCAGTGAAGCTCCTTTCCACCTTGCTCACCCTCCAGTTGTCCAGGCACTTCATTCTTCCTGGACATGAGACCAAAAACTTGGGACCTGCCAAATGGAGGGACTAAAAGAGCTGTAACACAAACAAGGCTGAAACACATCTCCCCACGCCCCACTCTCCATGATGAGAGAAGAGCTGTGGCCCTTCAAGGAGTTCAGACCCAGGGGCTCCCCAGGACAGTGTTGTGACACACTCTTTAGGGCTCTGTGGTTTCTGGTGTCTCCAAGATTCTAGGCACCACCACATTTCCCAGTGTCCACAATGGAAGCATACTGATTACAGTATGCCTGGTACACCAACAGCCTCGCACAGAGGTGGGTGCCTGGAGCTGCCCTCCCCACTGCAGCCGGTACGCCTGGCTGTGCGCAGTGGCTGGAACCTGTGCTCGCTCATACATCCCTTGCCACTCTGCACACGGCCTGGCGTTAGAAGATGTGGGATCTGGCTGGTAGCTCCAGCTGACTGCAGCCTGCCGGGCCAAGTGGGTGGAATGAGCCCAGTGGTCCTGAGGAAAACTTGGGCAAAGGTGCTACTGGCCACAGAGGTTTCCAGCTGGTGAAGTGACACCCTAAAGATCCTATGACATTTTCCGTGACACTATCATGACCAAAGACTCAGGATCAAACAGCTAAATGATCTTGACAGAAACCCATGAGATGAACTTAAAGAAATGCTGTATGAAGGATTCCTGCAGGCAAAAAGCCTACCACAATGTAGATAACCATGTCTGCCTTATCACATTGGAAAATTCTAGTTGAGATGTGCCAGGATTTTGTGAAGGCTGCTTCAGAAGACAAAAGAGCCTGGCTTAAAGACGTATAGACCCACCAATTCTACTCCTACATCTAAACCCAAAGACATGTCCACCAAAAGAGATGTGCAAAAATGTCCATAACTGCCCAAAATTGAAACAACTGAATGTCCAGCAATAGTCAAATGGGGAAATTATGCATTCAATGATAGACCACTCAGCAATTCAATAATTTAAAAAAACAAACAAAACAATCGCTACACACAGCAACTTGAATTAATCTCAAAAAATGTTGAGCCAAAGAAGCCAGACAACAAAATATATGCACTGTATGATTCTATTGACATAAGATTTTGAATCAGACAAAACTAATCTACAGAGCAGGAGATCAGAGCAGTGGTTATCTTATCTAGGGTGTGGGTGGGGTTATGGAACTGGAAAGACGCAAAGGGCCTACTGAATGCTGGACTATTCTAGACAAGATCTATTCTAGATCTTGATTGGAGTAATGATTCCATGGGTGTGTATGTATGAAGAATTCACCATCTGCACACTTAATATTTGTACAGCTTACTCTGTGCAAGTTATGCCTCAATTTAAAAAAGAAAAAGCAGGAAACAAAAAACTAAATATAGAGGTAAACAGGATCTTTGGTTTTCTGGGTGGCTTTTATAAAACTCCAACTCAAGAATTGTGGCTTCTTTGTAAGGAGAGAAAATCCGAATCCCATACAGATAGACTTGTCCCAGGGTGACACCATGTTTGTTCATCATTAACCAGCACTATTGAGACTATGTATCCCAGGCAGTGGCCTAGCTGGTGGCAACACAATGGGAACATGGGACTGTTGTGGACTCACTCTGTAAGAGGAAGCAACATTTCAGAAAGAAACTGTACACACAATTCTATCACTTTGAAGCGTGACATAGGCTATAAGAAGAAAAATATACCAGACATACACATGAGATCTTTTATAAGAAACAACAAGAGGGAAGCCTATTTTTGTTTGGGAAGTTAGGAAAACTTCAAGAAAGCACATTTGAACAAAGATGTGAATGAAGGTTGGGTAGGAGTCAGCCAGCAGATTTAAGTGCAATGGAAACACATGGAGGAGGAAGTGTGTGAGAGTGTGTGAGTGTGTGTGTGTGTGTGTGTGTGTGTGTGTAGAGAGAGGGGGGGAGAGAGAGAGAGAGAGAGAGAAAGAGAGGGAGAGAGAGAGAGAGATAGAGAGGGAGAGAGAGAGAGAGAGGGAGGGAGAGACAGAAGAATGAGTTAAGGTCTTGAGCTCACTGGTCCCAAGGAGCTAGGAGAATTCTAGCGTAAATAAAAGCTACTGAGTGGAGGGAAGAAGGGAGAGAAGGCTGAGGGAGGAAGGTAGACAAGGACCGAGCTATAGAGCAGTTTCAAGACCATGATTAGGCTTTAGATGAAATGCCAATAATGGAAAGGGTCAGAGGGTTAAGTAAGATCTGATTTACACTTAAAAGAGATCACTGGCATCCAAGAAGAGAATAAACTAAAAAGAGATCAGAACAGTGAGAAGAACCAGATAAGACTACTGAAGTAATCCAGGAAGGAGAAGGCAACTTGAATTAAGATGGTGGCAATGGAAATGGAGAAAGGTGGATGGAAATAAGCTAGCTTTTTGAAACAAGTTTACCTCCTCTTCTGATGACCTAATCTCTCTTCTAAAATTAGTTGTTAGCTCTAATCCATGCTCTCTGTCTCTCTCTCTCTCTCTCTCTCCCTACTCTATTGAAACACACATACGCACTCGCAGCAGACCCTCACCCTGTCACCCACTAGATCGCAACTGTGATGAGGAAGCAACAGCAATGATGCCCACTCAGGGCCCTGTTAGGAATTCCAAGGCATTATTTAGTTTAAGGAAAGGAAATCAGGAGGAAGTGCTAACATTCATTCACGGTCACCCATGTGCCAAGCAGTGGGCTAGATACTTTCACATTTGTTGTCTTGGATATCAAATTGGATATTACTATCCTCATTTTAATAGGTGAGGAAACTGCAGCTTAGAGAGGTTATTTTATTGCAGCCTTGTAGCTATTTTCTTTTTTTTTTTTTTTTTTTTTTTTTTTTTTGTTGTTTTTTTTTTTTTTTTTTTTTTTTTTTTTTTTTGAGGCAGAGTCTTACTTTGTTGCCTGGCTGGAGTGCAGTGGCGCAATCTTGGTTCACTGCGACCTCCACCTTCTGCATTCAAGTAATTCTCCTGCCTTAGCCTCCCGAGTAGCTGGGATTACAGGCTAGTGCCACCTTGCCCACTGATTTTTGTATTTTTAGTAGAGATGGTGTTTCACCACGTTGGCCAGGATGGTCTCGATCTCTTGACCTCGTGAACCGCCCGCCTCAGCCTCCCAAAGTGCTGGGATGACAGGCGTGAGTCACCGTGCCCGGCCCTCATAGCTATTTTAAATGGCAGAAGTAGATTGATTTCAGAACTACCTGATTCCAGAAACCACATGCTTTCTCCTACACTCTGCAAATGATTCTTTTATCAAAGATGTATGGCTTTTTAATATCAGACACCAGGAAGAGTAATCCACAGGGATGGCCCATTAATGGTGGCGTTTTAGATTTCAAACACCTGATCAAAGGCAGGTATCTTTGAACAGCAGTCTTCAGAGCCTCTGGGATGCAGCCGTTAGGCAACCTTGTACTTTAGCCCACCTGTGATTAACTACAAGTACACCCCCAAGCACAGGTGCCCTGGAGGCCAGTGGTATCTGAGAGCATCCACTAAAGGTTAAGGGTGGCTACGCAACCTCCAAAAGCAGTGACATCAGAACTGAGTTCAGCCCAGGTTTGCTGGGTCAGGTAGAAACTTGAATAACACTGCAATGTCTTAAGTTGGGTTTCAGTACAAGACAGATGGATCTAGCTCCTGCCTTGGAAAACAGCACAGCCTTGTGGGGAGGGAAAGGGTAAGGGTGAGAGGCTTGCCACTTCTAGGCTTTCCTCCTGTTTTGAGAGTGACTTTGCTCAATTACCATAGACACATTTCTTTGAGGTGGCCATGTGACCAGAGACACCATATCCTGAGGACTCAGGGAAGAGGGATGAATCAGTTAGGGTTTAATCAGAGAAGCAGGGCCACTCTGAGTGATACAGAACAAGGGATTTGCTATTAAAATGAGCACAATTGTGGGAGCTGGTGAAGGAGGTGATGGCAAGTTGCTTTTGCACCTGGTGGGGGCCTAAAGCTGCTGTGGCAGCTCTGGTAATCAGGGAAGAAGGCTGGATCTAATGTGAGGAGAGCAACACTTAGTGGAAGCATGAGAAAAACTCGAACTGTCACCAGTGGAGGGTATCCAGGTTCTCGGCATCTTGAACAAAAATAAATGGACAAAACACACAAAGCAAGGAAAGAATGAAGCAACAAAAGCAGATATTTATTGAACATGAAAGGACACTCCACAAGGTGGGAGCCAGCCTGAGCAAGCAGCTCAAAAGCCTGGTTACAGATTTTCTGAGCTTTAAATATCCATTAGAATATTCCCATTAATTACTTGGTGTACGCCCTATGTAAATGAAGTAGTGGCCCACAGCCAGTCTGATTTGTTTGGAAAGTGACCAGTCAGAGGCTGATGTGAAGTTACAAAGTTATACTCCTGTGCAAATGAAGACTTGGCCCATGACAAGTCTGATTGGTTGCATGAGGGGACTGATCAGAGGTACTTTCAATTTTTTTTTTTTTTTTTAGATATTTTTATTTCTCCAAATTTGTTATTTATCAGGAGTGACTGAAATAAAAAATAAAATTGAGTCCCATCATCATCATGGAAATGGCTTTAAGAGAAAACTGGTCAGATGAATATTACTGCTTCCCATTTTCAACCAGTAAATAGTGGCCACAGATAAACTGACAGCCAGGAGTCTGCCGAGAATGCTCAAGATACATTATATAATACAGCATGCCTGTTCACAGGGGGAAATTCCCAGAAAATAACTTATGTGTATTTCTTGATTTCATCATACAAGACAAGTACAAAAGCACCACCCAGGCCTCTGAGAACATTGGACCATGCACTCTTGAAGAAAGCTTTGCCTCCTTCATCACGAGCAATCTTCCTTCAGCAGTCAAGTGTGCCTGTGTACATGATGTCAGTTCCTTTGCGCCCCGACTGCATCATCATGCGGCGGCGAACAGTGTCAAATGGATAGGAAGTCAACCCGGCAACAGCAGTGACAGTCTGTGCGATCATCCCGCTGATAACGATGTGAGTGTTCTTGGGATCCGGAAGCATTCCCTTTGCAGTGTCATAGATACCGAAGTCGGCAGCTCGGTAGATGATAATACCCTGCACAGACACGTGAAAGCCTTGGTACAGACCCTTAATCCCAACAGATTCGTAGATCTTAACCAGGCAGTCGCCGAGGCCTCGGAATTCCCTTTCAGCTCCAGCTTTACCCACATCTGCTGCTAGACGGGTAGGGGCAAAATCAAGAGGGTACACAAGACACAAGGATGTGGCCCCAGCAGCACCGCCTGATGCCAGATTCCCTGCAAAGTAGCACCAAAACTGGGTTCTCTTGTCCACACCACCCAGGAAGATCTGCTTGTATTTATCGTTGAAGGTGAAGTTAAGAGCCTGGGTGGGGAAGTATCTGATGACATCGGCCAGGTTACCGCGCCAGAAGGACAGGACTCCCTGTTCCTTAGGAATACGGACCACGCAGTCTATAATGCCCTTGTATTGCTTATCTGCGGTGATCTGCTTGCTGGCATGCTGTACCTGCAGCAGCAGCTTGACCCGCTCGATAGGCACTACCGCCGTCTTGGAGATGGCTGCGACCACTCCACCTGCCAGGAAGTCCTTGGCGAAGGACACAGCGGCATCTGTCATGTTGAAAGGAAAGACGAGGCAGGCTGCTGCAGGACGGGACTGGGCCGGGAACCGGCTTTGACTCCGGGACTGCGGCGGGGGTGGGCGGTACTTTCAATTTTTTATCTGCCACGCACAAAGGCGGTGGGGGGGACAGTGCAAAGGGAGTAGCCTCTGGTCCTTTTATTACTTGGGCATGTGTAACAGTTGGGGTTTTCCTTTTGATTTAGTTCTAGGGAGTCAGCATGAATTGGCCTTTGGTTCCTTGCCTCCGGACCCTATTCTCTTGCCTCAGAACAATGAGGACAGAGTGGACCCCACATATGCCTCTTATGCCTCCAATTTTAACAATGTGGGAAATCTGCAGA